GATCCACACAGTCAAAGGCTTTGGCATAGTCAATAAAGCAGAAATAGATGTTTTTCTGGAACTCTCTTGCTTTTTCGATGATCCAGCAGATGTTGGCAATTTGATCTCTGGTTCCTCTGCCTTTTCTAAAACCAGCTTGAACATCTGGAAGTTCACAGTTCACGTATTGCTGAAGCCTGGCATGGAGAATTTTGAGCATTACTTTACTAGCATGTGAGATGAGTGCAATTGTGTGGTAGTTTGAACATTCTGTAAGAATTCAAGAAAAGGCCTTTAAATATAAAGATAAGATAAAACATGACAGTGATTGATTGGTATTTCAGAATGATGATCCATGTCTCTAACCACCTTCCATTACTTTATCAAAAAACAAGCCAGCCTTGTCCACATGCAATGGGTTAAATCACATAGTCGTAAGAGCAGAGAGGTTTCTTTCTATACATTTTTTCTGAGTTTGCTTTAAATTTAATTTTCAGTGCAGACAAGACCTTGAGCTTGGCCTATGCCAGCCAAACTGGGTGCCACTAAAGAAAATGAGTGTTGGCTTTTTTCCTTGCTTGGGCCCAGGGGTTAAGTAAAGAGAAAACTTTCCTGATATGTGAAACATGGTAATGCATGATGTCAACAGAGTTCTTTTCAGGTCATCTCAGACTGTGTTGCCACACATGGCCTGTTTCCCTCTTCCTGCTAAATGTATGAACCTTATTTGTAACGTGAAATAAGGAAAAGTACAAATGCAGCATGAGATGGGAGACTGAAGAGTTTTTTGCAGCACTCTGTGTTCAATATCACTAATCCAAGTCTATGCCCCAACCAGTAATGCTGAAGAAGCTGAAGTTGAATGTTTCTATGAAGACCTATAAGACCTTCTAGAACTAACACCCAAGAAAGATGTCCTTTTCATTATAGAGGACTGGAATGCAAAAGTAGGAAGTCAAGAGATACCTGGACTAACAGGCAAATTTGGCCCTGCAGTACAAAACGAAGCAGGGCAAAGCCTAACAGAGTTGTGCTAAGAGAATGCACTGGTCATAGCAAACACCCTTTTCCAACAACACAAGAGAAGACTCTACACACGGACCTCACCAGATGGTCAATACCAAATCAGATTGATTATATTCTTTGCAGCCAAGATGGAGAAGTTCTATACAGTCAGCAAAAACAACACCAGGAGCTGACTGTGGCTCAGACCATGAACTCCTTATTGCAAAATTCAGACTTAAGCTGAAGAAAGTGGAGAAAACCACTAGACCATTCAGGTATGACCTAAATCAAATCCCTTACGATTATACAGTGGAAGTGACAAATAGATTCAAGGGGTTAGATTTGATAGACAAGAGTGCCTGAAGAACTATGGATTGAACTTCATGACACTGTACAGGAGACAGTGTTCAAGACCATCCCCAAGAAAAAGAAATGCAAAAAGGCAAAATGGTTGTCTGAGGAGGCCTTACAAAACGCTGAGAAAAGAAAAGAAGAAAAGGAAAGATATACCCATTTGAATGTAGAGTTCCAAAGAATAGCAAGGAGAGATAAGAAAGCCTTCCTCAGTGATCAACACAAAGAAATAGAGGAAAACAACAAAATGGAAAAGATTAGAGATCTCTTCAAGAAAATTAGAGATA